TGATTTTCTAACGGCTGTTAACGGCTGTCTTACCAAAAAATGATAAGTAAAAAACTTATTTGAACCGAGAGTTGTGGTTGCTGTTTTCGGTTAAATCATCTTCTGTAACCCCTCATTCGAACGCTTGGCTCATTCTCTGCACGAATATGTGGCTAAATACGAGGACATAACATCCGGGACGCCGTAAGGAGCTTTTGGAAAAATGGCGCGAAACGCGCAGGTTGAGCAAAATTCGTAGATAGTGGAAACCAAACGAGGAAGTGAAATCACTGGCGATTTCTCACAGCATTTTCGTGGCTGGAGGCTTACAACGGAGAAATGATACATTGTTACACATATTGTTAAAAAGGACATTCAATGCACTTTTTAAATATGTTTTCACATTTATCATAGGAGCCAAATCTTGGAAGGTATGATGAAAAACAAACAGCGAGGTTGAATTTTTCGTTTTCGCGTGAGCGGTGTGACCTGACCTCCCTAATGGTAAGACGCCGATGAGGCTTTACCGAGGTGTGCTATCACTGCAATAGAGAGACTTTACTTTCCAGCCGAGACAGCCGACCAGCCGAGCATCCAGCCAACCAGCCGAGTGTCCAGCCAACCAGCCGAGTGTCCAGCCGATACAGTCGATCAGCCGAGACAGCCGACTATCCAGCCGAGACAGCAGACCAGCCGAGTATCCAGCCGAAACAGCCGACCAGCCGAGCCTGTAGGAGAGACAGCCGAGCCGAAACCGTGGGGATCTAGCTTTTCCTGAGGGCCGAGTTTAAGATACCGTGCCCGCTACCTCTAGAAGTACAGCAAGCTAGTTACTAGTATGTGATGCGAACTTATGTGTTGACCGTCGCAATCCCGCTTTCCTGAGGGCCGAGTTTCAGATACCGAGCTCGTTACTTTCCCATAAGTACAGTGAACCGGATCCGTAGTGAAGGAGAGAAACTGTGCACGTACATTCTAAGTGGACTAAGTAATCGTGTTGACTTTACTTTTAAAGAGAGAACATTGCAGTTGAGCTTTAAGACTTAAGTGTGAAATTGATCGAGCGTAACATGGCTCTCTGTGTGGACATTATGAGGAACTGACTTTCAAACTGACTTCAGAGATGTTGCATTATTCTTTCGCTTTATTGTTACGGTTTACAGTTGCAGTTTGAATTACATGTTTATGAACTTTTAAAAAACTTGTTTCTTGTAACTTGTTTAACGCCGGTGTCAGGAACGCAAAACAACGAGCATCAGTGTATCCATCTGAACGGCTCTTCCCTAGATCATCTTTGGAGGGAATAAAAAATCGCTACAATATTTAAGTAAACGTTGTACGTTTTGGACATTAAAAAATCCAAAAGTATTGAAAACGCGGCGAAAGTCTGTTTTCCATGGGTGTTCTCCGTGTGTACACTGTGCTTCATCTAAAGGGTTGTGCGTGACCTTGAAAACTTACATAATATTTACAGATTAGTTTGTTGACTATAAGAAAAGTAGGTGAGTTACGTGCCGTGAAATAGGTGCCCACGTAACCCTGTTACTTGGTGCGAAATTGCATTGTCCGTTTTTTACAACTCAAACGCATTCAGCCTACTCTTAGGGTCAAAACGCACTGAAGATTTCTCTAAACTTTCGTCGAATATGTAATTTGGAAAAGTGCCAGAGCTGAGCAGCGATCTGTTGTTTTTATTTTGATCAGCATTTAAATGAACAGTGCTATATTTTGGGAAATGCCAAATTTAATTGGCCCAATTTTAAAATTCTATTTTTAGCTTTAAAAAATGGCAACCGGTGACCAATATGCTGTCGGCAAAGGAAAACAAAGGCGCCTGATGCGCAGAATAAGTTTGGCTAGCATTGGAGAGGTTGTAGGTGAGTTGGAAAAGAGTATGTGGGTTAGTGTCTTTAGGACATTTATTTGTTTATCTTACTTTAATGTGACATATGGCAATTGTTTACATATAGAAAAAAACATTTGTATGAACCGCTGGTTGATAAAGGTAAAATATGTCATAGATAATATCAACACCTTACGTGTATATTTCAATCACAGATGATTGCAAATGTAGTGAGTGGAATTTTTATTGCACCTACAAACTTTCTTAAAAATCTTATCTTAGTAACAAATTCGAAAGTGCCTGTAANTACACAGCTGTGGAAGAATATTCCTAATTAAAATGACTCCTAATTAAAATGAATAAACAGATATTATAACAGGTTACTGGATCCCCCACCCCTCCCTAGTATTTATTGCATCGAGTATTTCAATGGTTTACAGACTTTACAAAGGCCATAAATCTGTTAGATATTCGGTGTGACAAGCTTGAAAGTTCTGTCAGACCAAAGTAAAATTATAGAAATACGTAAAATTATTTGTTTTCTGGTGTATTTTTTGTCATTTCAATCATCGACAATAAATCGAATATAAAATGTTTTCCATATATTTCATAAACTTTGGAAAAAATAAATTGAAAGATAAAGATTGTAAAAGTTTTTTATTACTTAATGAAAAGGGCATGGTAGAACGACACAAGGACTAAAATCAATACAAGTATGAAGAACGTGTAGCTAGTAATATCAAATGTATGTCCATAAAAAAATCTTTTAATCACCTGTTGTTTTTGGCAATAACATGTGCATTACGAAACAGCAAAGTAAGGCGGTCTCTTTCATCCAGTTGAAGCTTTGATAGGTATTGTCCAGTCCGAGACCGAGTTGAATTCTTTCTTCATTTTATTTCATTTTGATAAAAAAAACTCAAACTGTGAGCCTCCATTAAGTTCATGTGCACTCTAGCCAACTCGTGGTCGTGATAGGCAGTACATGTGGAAACAGATGTACGAAATTTTTTAGAACCTGTTTAATAAAGCAGCAGGGTTTATGTTGCTGTTGATCATAATAATATGTATTTATTTGCAACTTAAAAAGTTGGATTTTACAATAAAAAACAAATAGTGGTGAAATGCACAATCTTAAACTTTACTATCACAATCTTTACTGTTGTAAAGCGAATGACTTACACTTTCACTAATTACAGATAACAATTAAAACGGAATCAAAAGAGTAAAAGGATAGGGAGATATAATATTGAGTTATTGAGTGTAAGTTAAGTTTCATCAAGAGTCAACAAGTGTAGAACATTTTTTAGTGTCAGAAAAAGATGGAAAAAGGTCAAAGTCAGTAACAGTTCATGTGATTGGTTAATTTCATAACATATTTTAATTTCGATCATCTGTTTATCACATGATAACTGAGTTTTGGATATGATTCAAGCATCAGGATAAGCATTAGGATTACCTAATAAGGAAATGTTTCATGGTGACTTGCAACATGCGAATGGAAAATATTTTGTAATCACGCAAAGACAATGGAAAGAAAACAAGAAAATGCATGATCAACGGGCAACTATCGATATCTTTATCCAAATACACAAATTAAAAGCTCATTTTGTAAATTTTGGGCTTTAAAAAACGTCCTCTTTGCTCGGCCTGGGAGTTAATGAGCTACGTCGTCACGTGGTCCGATGACGACAATCGTGCCACCGGAGGAGAGAGGGCTGTCAAAATGAGCTGCGTTGTCTACCTGTAAGATGACTTTTCTGACTCCTGATAAAAGTTCTTACTCATTCAAATCTCTTACCCGAGGGATCTTACCCGTGAAGCCATTTTCCCGTCTATTCACTTCTTTAACTAGCATTTAATTATGGTTATCCCAACTAGTATAAATATACTGTATTTGAATGAATTGAGGGTACTTTTGATAATTCGATATGAGGTCCATGTTATTTGTGAAATTCAATTCAATTTATTAAACCCTTGCGCCCTACGGCTCATCAGAATGAAATGCAATAAAAATATAAAGTCATACGAAAAGTTTACAACTTCTAGAGTCATAAAAACAACAATACAACTATTAGTGGTAATGATAAAAACTCATCAGACTGACGTTAATCTTACCTCCGATGAACATTTTAAGTACTTCCATAAGTTGTTTAATTGTGAAACATTGTTAAGTGATAACAATTTAATTAGCTTGAAAACACTTTGTTTTGTATTATAAATTTCTTGATGTGCTTCTGCCTAAACGTTCTGTAGCAAAGACATTTTAAAATTCTTAAAAGAATAAAATGAAATTCATCCTCGATGTCATCTAAAATACGTAGTTTACCGGTTCTTAATTTTTATTTGTGTCTGCACCTTCCAGTTTCTACAGCTAGAATATGTGATGAAAGTCTAAATTTGGCAATTAATTCCTTATATTTCTGTGAAATTGGCTTATCTAAATAGAATTGCACTGTAAAATTATGAACAAGATGTTGGTACAATAGCCCTTTACTCCTTGTGGATATTTCCCCGGTCAGTGTTTGACTAAAATTATCTTTCAATATTTACTCTATCAAGGACAGTATAAAATTATCTGACATGTTTTCGTGAAAAATTAATGACAAGTCAAGTGTCTCCAGATCATTCCGTATACTCAAATTACCCAATCAAATTTTTTGTTCAGTAGATCTTTATAGCACGCTGTTATAATACAATTTTTCGAAGAACGGATTTAAATCAATATTAAAAAATCGTAGCTATGTACTTAAAAGAAGTGGGTATCTCCCGGTTTCATAATGTACTAAGTTACGTGCATGTACAATGAACTAAGTATCACTAGTTCTCCTTTTTACACCCAACATTCTTTTAAAAAATTCGTATGTGCCCTTCTTATATCCCATTAAGGTAATACCATGTTAAATCTCCATACATAATTTAAAATATACTGACGTACGTATCAAATACTGCACATTAAGTGAACACAGACGCAGAACTTGTGTTTCAAATTATAAAATGTTAAATCTTTTAAATTATTTAATATTTCAGTTGAAATACCCTTCAGAAACAAATTCTCAAAGCACAAAACACTTTATTTCCTTAAACGCATTAGGATTACGAACCTTTTTATTACAGAAGTTATTTTTTCTTTAATATTACTGCTCTTTTTCGAGTTTTTCCCCAACCAGGTTTTCTTCCACAGAAGTTATGCCTGGGCATACGCATGCTTCAGGATACCCTGAGAGCAATCACTTTTATTAATGTTCGCGACCGTGTTTGAACTCCAATGTTTAAATATCGATATTAAACGTCATTAAAAAATACCAATAATATCACCCCATGAAATAATAGAGATATATTGAAAAAATATTAAAGCCCACCAATAATATGTTGCCTCCGACTTTGAAGGGAAAACTTCCATGGATCCGTCATACAGACCGGAGAAGTTAAAGACAACCGACACGGAACTGAAGACGACTGATCTCGACTACAAAGATGAATCGAAAGTCCTGGTCCTGTACACAGGTGGAACGATTGGCATGCGTATTCACGATGGAGGTAACAGTAATGGCGCAATATTTGATCATAATCTTTTGACCACTTTGTGAAAAACAATACAGACACCCTAATCTAATTTTATTTAAACCGAGCCCGTAGCCAGGGGGGTTAGGGGGTTCGAAAAAACCGCCCCTTTTGCTGGGAAAAGGTCCACTCTGGGAAAAATTAGAGCTAGGTACACGAAGTATTTATGGAAAAAGGTCCACTTTTTCAAAAAAAAAAAAAAAAGAACCCCCCCTTTTGAAATTGCTGGCTACGGGCCTGTAAGCAGTGTGTGTCGGTGTTGATAAAAAGTGTATATACATATGATGTAATTGCATGTTCATTTTAGTTACATTTTCGTTTTCGTTTTTTTTTTTTTTTTTTTTTTGGTTCAATGCCAGTTGTCACGCGTTACATCTTGTACCTTACACGTACTTGATCACTTATGAGTCATTGATTCACCTCATGACCTGCACGTACACCACAACCTTAATTTAATGGTCTCATTCCTTACACAGCCGTGGAAGAATATTCCTAATTAAAATGATTCCTAATTAAAATGAATAAACAGATATGATTACAGGTTACTGGATCCCCCACCCCTCCCTAGTATTTATTGCATTGAGTTTTTCAATGGTTTACAGACTTTACAAAAGGCCATAAATCTGTTAGATATTCAGTGTGATAAGCTTGAAAGTTCTGTCAGACCAAAGTAAAATTATAGAAATACGTAAAATTATTTGTTTTCTGGTGTATTTTTTATCATTTCAATCATCGACAATATATCTAATATAAAATGTTTTCCATATATTTCATAAACTTTGGAAAAAATAAATTGAAAGAAAAAGATTGTAAAAGTTTTTTATTACTTAATGAAAAGGGCATGGTAGAACGACACAAGGACTAAAACCAATACAAGTATGAAGAACGTGTAGCTAGTAATATCAAATGTATGTCCTTAAAAACATCTATTAATCACCTGTTGTTTTTGGCAATAACATGTGCATTACGAAACAGCAAAGTAAGGCGGTCTCTTTCATCCAGTTGAAGCTTTGATAGGTATTGTCCAGCCCGAGACCGAGACTGAATTCTTTCTTCATTTTATTTCATTTTGATAAAAAAGAAACTCAAACTGTGAGCCTCCATTAAGTTCATGTGCACTCTAGCCAACTCGTGGTCGTGATAGGCAGTACATGTGGAAACAGATGTACGAAAATTTTTGGAACCTGCGTAATAAAGCAGTAGGATTTATGTTGCAGTTGATCCTAATAATATGTATTTATTTGCAACTTAAAAAGTTGGATTTTACAATAAAAAATAAATGGTGGTGAAATGCACAATCTTAAAGTATACTGTTGTAAAGCGAAAGATTTACACTTTCACTAATTACAGATAACAATTAAAACGGAATCAAAAGAGTAAAAGGATAGGGAGTTATTGAGTTATTGAGTGTAAGTTAAGTTTCATCAAGAGTCAACAAGTGTAGAACATTTTTAGTGTCAGAAAAAGATGGAAAAGGTCAAAGTCAGTAACAGTTCATGTGATTGGTTAATTTCATAATATATTTTAATTTCGATCATCTGTTTATCACATGATAACTGAGTTTTGGATATGATTCAAGTATTAGGATTAGCATTAGGATTACCTAATAAGGAAATGTTTCATGGTGACTTGCAACGTGCGAATGGAAAATATTTTGTAATCACGCAAAGACAATGGAAAGAAAACAAGAAAATGCATGATCAATGGGCAACTAACGATATCTTTGTCCAAATAGACAAGTTAAAAGCTTATTTTGTAAATTTTGGGCTTTAAAAAACGTCCTCTTTGCTGGGCCTGGGAGTGAATGAGGTACGTGGTCACGTGGTCCGATGACGACAATCGTGCCACCGGAGGAGAGAGCCTATCAAACTGAGCTGCATTGTCTACCTGTAAGATGACTTTTCTGACTCCTGTTAAAAGTTCATACTCATTCAAATCTCTTACCAGAGGCATCTTACCCGTAAAGCCGAGTGAAGCCATTTTGCCGTCTATTCACTTCTTTAACTAGCATTTAATTATGGTTATCCCAACTAGTATAAATATACTGTATTTGAATGACTTGAGGGTACTTTTGATCATTCGATATGAGGTCCATGTTATTTGTGAAATTCAATTTATTAAACCCTTGCGCCCTACGGCTCATCAGAATAAAATGCAATAAAAATATGGAGTCATACGAGAAGTTTACAACTTCTAGAGTCATAAAAACAACAATACAACTACTAGTAGTAATGATAAAAACTCATCAGACTGACGTTAATCTTACCTCCGATGAACATTTTAAGTACTTTCATAAGTTGTTTAATTGTGAAACATTGTTAAGTGATAACAATTTAATTAGCTTGAAAACACTTTACTTTGTATTATAAATTTTTTGATGTGCTTCTACCTAAACGTTCTGTAGCAAAGACATTTTTAAATTCTTAAAAGAATAAAATGAAATTCATCCTCGATGTCATCTAAAATACGTAGTTTACCGATTCTTAATTTTTATTTGTGTCTGCACCTTCCAGTTTCTACAGCTAGAATATGTGATGAAAGTCTAAATTTGCCAATTAATTCCTTATATTTCTGTGAAATTGGCTTATTTAAATAGAATTGCACTGTAAAATTATCAACAAGATGTTGGTACAATAGCCCTTTACTCCTTGTGGATATTTCCCCGGTCAATGTTTGACTAAAATTATCTTTCAATATTTACTCTATCAAGGACAGTATAAAATTATCTGACATGTTTTCGTGAAAAATTAATGACAAGTCAAGTGTCTCCAGTTCATTCCGTACTCAAATTACCCAAGCAAATTTTTTTGTTCAGTAGATCTTTATAGCACGCTGTTATAATACAATTTTTCGAAGAGCGGATTTAAATCAATATTAAAAAATCGTATCTATGTACTTAAAAGAAGTGGGTATCTCCCGGTTTCATAATGTACTAAGTTACGTACATGTACAATGAACTAAGTTATCACTAGTTCTCCATTTTACACCCAACATGCTTTTAAAAAGCGCAAACGAGGTAGACCGAGGATAACCTGGAGGAGAACCTTCCAGAATGATCTGCAAAGAGGCAACATCAGGTTGGAGAAGATAGAGAAGGCCGCTGCCGACCGGACAAGTTGGAAAAAGTTTGCCGCCCAATGTCCTACGTTGGACAGGAGGAACTAAGAACTAAGAACTACATGTAAGAACGTATCAAATACTGCACATGTAGTGAACACATTAAAGTTATGATTTTTTAACATGCCACTAACATCAAACAATGCTTTTTTTTACCTTGTTCTGCTATATGTTTTTGGGTTTGACAAAACTCACAAATTTGCAAAAAGTTTTGCGTGCAGACGCAGAACTTGTGTTTCAAATTATAAAATGATAAATCTTTTAAATTATTTAATATTTCAGTTGAAATACCCTTCAGAAACAAATTCTCAAAGCACAAAACACTTTATTTCGTTAAACGCATTAGGATAACGAACCTTTTTATTACAGAAGTTCTTTTTTCTTTATTACTGCTCTTTTTCGAGTTTTTCCTCAACCACGTTTTCTTCCACAGAAGTAATGCCTGGGCATACGCATGCTTCAGAATACCCTGAGAGCAATCACTTTTATTAATGTTCGCGACCGTGTTTGAACTCAAATGTTTAAATATCGATATTAAACGTCATTTTAAAATACTAATAGATATCACCCCATGAAATAAAAGAGATATATTGAAAAAATATTAAAGCCCACCAAGAATCTGACAAGTTGAGTTACCTGTTATTACCTGGCTTGGGAAGTGCAGCGGTGCGTAATTAACAGGTTTTATTGTTAACGAGCTCTTGGTCAACTACCATGCATTAAAAATGCATCAGCAATTAGTAAGCTTGTCAACTGATGACGGCTAATTTGAAAGACTGTCAGCTTTTGATATCATATGATCTAAACCACCTGAGGCGACCATAATCTCGAGCATCACATCACCATGGACATCATGGGAGACTAAAATCACAAATGTGATCAAGATCCAAGATCCACTTTTATGACCATTACCCAAGTAAATATAATCATGAAGTTTGCATGTGTACATGTCCACATTTATACTTGAATTAAAAGACCAATGACGATGTTTGTCAATCGTCTCTATGCTGTTTAGGGACTCCAATTTAAAGATGAAAAATATTAATTATCATTCTCAAACTGGAGACGACCGTAGCCGGTAAAATATATATATATATATATATATATATATATATATATATATATATATATATATATATATATATACTTCAGAGCAGTGTTAATGTCAACTTTGATAAAAGAATATTAAAAGGCCCACAGGTGCGTTTTTGTGCTTAACGAATGCGTGTGTGGTGCCACATTGCAACGAGAGCCAATATTGAAAGTTAAAAAGATAATAATTATCATTCTCAGACTGGAGCAGACCGTAGCCGGTAATGTGTAAATATATATATATATATACTTCAGAGCAGTGTTAATGTCAACTTTGATAAAAGAATATTAAAAGACCCACAGGTGCGTATTTGTGGGTCACGAATGCGTGTGTGGTGCCCTATTGCAACGAGAGCCCATATTGAATGTTAAAAATATTAATTATCATTATATAATTCGGGCTCACTTAAGCAAGTAACATAAACCTATTCATATAGCACACAGGAGTGTAAACGCCACCTTTATCTAAACCGTACGTAAAAAATACCAGACCTTAAACGATGTCAGCGAGTTGAAAAAATCGGAGAGGAATTGCGTCATTTTAATTCAAGACACGATTGAAGGTTTCATTATTGTCGCGTCTCAGGCTAATTTCTCACATGAAGAGAAAAGTTTGACACTAAAAATATTTTCCAATCGGATCATAGCTGAAAACAAGTATACTACACTACAATTGTACAATTTTGAATGCTCATTTTATGTCCATGACATCACCGAAGTAAATAAGTCACGGAAGACAGTCACAGACAAAGAAAGATTGTCAACGAGTGCTGATTTTTTGGTGAATCCCACGGCAACACAATGAAGCATAACGAAAATTGTCCAACCCATTTCAACTCAACTTTCCTAAACTTCTCTGTCTGTATTCAGCATGCAGCTCAGCTGAGTCTCAAAGACCTTTATCGTCTTTGTCGTCAAAGTACCACGTGACCCAGATCTGTTGCTTCATTTTTGCCTTGGACCTAAATATGAAAGGACATGAAACGCGTCATCTTCCTTTGAAGCTATGTGCGTTCGGGTAAACATTCGCCCATTGTCTCAGATAAGCTGTTTTGATAGCTCCACGGGAGCCTGAACGACTTATTATCAAGGTAGCGCGCGCTGTGCCTCATTGAAATTCTTTTGTTCTATTGCACGGATAACGCAATTTCTCGCGGTCCCTCGTGGTTGCTATGATACAGCATTGCCTCCATCTTGCAGTTGCTAGCACATAGACTTGCGCCAACACGTGGAAATTTGTTTCGGGTTTTCAGTATCTTTTCCTGTTACCTCATTAAAGATGCATACAAAGTCAATTTTTTGTCACAAAAACCTACCAAATGCCAGCATATAGTTTTAAATAGCATAACTAAGAGAATTACCAAAAGGCATTGTTTAATTTTACCCGAAAATGATGTTTGAACAGATTTTTCTGCTGGCATTCTAAGCTGTATGTCAATGGGGCAGGGAAGTAGGTCACGGAAGTAGGTTAAATTTACAACCATAAATTTAAAGAAAGGAGCAGTCTAAAGGTCTTTTATGGCTGATCGAGTGATCTATTCAGTTTATCCCTTGGCATGTCAAATTTATTTGAGTCACATAAGAATCTAGTAGAAGTGGTTTACATGTGTTACTGGGAATCCACGATCCACCGATGCTCGGTTCGTATGTACCTTTAAAACGACCATTACCCAAGTAGGCTAAATATAATCATGAAGTTTGCATGTGTACATGACCACATTTATACTTTAATTAAAAGACCAATGAGGGTCTTTGTCCATCGTCTCTATGCTGTTTAGGGACTCCAATTTAAAAATGAAAAAGTATTAATTATCATTCTCAAACTGGAGCAGACCATCGGCGGTAATGTGTAAATATATATATACTTCAGAGCAGTGTTAATGTCAACTTTGATAAAAGAATATTAAAAGGCCCACAGGTGCGTCTTTGTGCGTAACGAATGTGTTTGTGGTGCCGTATTGCAATGAGAGCCCATATTGAAAGTTAAAAAAATAATAATTATCATTCTCAGACTGGAGCAGATTGTAGCCGGTAATGTGTAAAATTATATATACTTCAGAGCAGTGTTAATGCCAACTTTGATAAAAGAATATTAAAAGGCCCCCAGGTGCGTTTTTGTGCGTCAAGAATGCGTGTGTGTTGCCCTATTGCAACGAGAGCCCATATTGAAAGTTAAAAATATTGATTATCATTACATAATTCGGGTTCACATGAGCAAGTAACATAAACCTATACATATAGTACACAGCAGTGTAAATGCCACCTTTATCTAAACGGTACGTAAAAAATATGTCAGCGAGTTGAATAAATCGGAGAGGAATTGCGTCATTTTAATTCAAGACACGATTGAAGGTTTCATTATTGCCGCGTCTCAGGCTAATTTCTCACATAGAGAGAAAAGTTTGACACTAGAAATATTTTCCAATCGGACCATAGCTGAAAACAAGTATACTACACTACAATTGTACAATTTTGAATGCTCATTTTACGGCAACAAACAAGGTTGCCTTTACCACATAGGGCATTTTGAATTCCTCCATGAACAAACATATCAAATTCCCACATAGTTTCCAAATTGTCAGAACAAATTGTACTAATACTTTATCTCTATAAGTGTATTGCCCCATCCACCCGAAGGATTTACTCACGTTATCGCGAACTACCTGCCCAAATGACACAAAAAGTCATCGACAACTGCGATATGCTCGCTACCTGTACGGGAGGTCACGTGATCCGAACGCACATGGTTTCGCGAAGAGCTCACGTTAAGCCGATTATCCTTTGATCTAGCTCAGCGTTTCATGTCCTTCTCTTATTATGTCCATGCGTGGCTAGAATCCTTTAAATAGGGCCTACTTGTGAAATTGTGTGAAAAGGCAGTCGGTGAATAAACGTTAGAAAGCTCCAGATTGCTGTCGTATTCTTCACTATAAAAGGTGGTGGAGGAGGCGGGCAACGATCCTGCTACCTCGCGCTACCTCCCTATCCTTTTACTCTTTTGATTCCGTTTTAATTGTTATCTGTAATTAGTGAAAGTGTAAGTCATTCGCTTTACAACATACACCCCTTCTTCAAAAGAATTCGTCCTCGAATTCTAAAACTTTACAACAATACTTGTAAGTGTTAAAATGATTCGATACACATTAAAAGTTCATAAAAACCTGTTCTTAAAATTTGATAAAGCCCATGGGATAAAAGATTTTGGCGATCGGACAGTCCTCAGTTTTGGCACAGTGTACATGTACTTATAAACCCGCGCAAAGTATAGGAACTTTCATTTATGTCTGGTAGCAAATGATGGATTTCATGTCCTTCGGAGTACATGTTATGCAATAATGTTTTAGATAGTTCCGTGAATGATCCGTTGTTATTCACCTGTGCATTAACGTGGCTTAATCGTTTCCCACCTCATTATATATTTACTATAGTGAGGATATTTCTAGGTAAAATTCATGTGTTAATACAGACATTTTAATTGATAATTTTGATAGAGAATTAGCGTCAAATTACACTTCGACGCTTGGATGAAACTACCGTGGACGGGCTGTCGTTATTCAGCTGTTGGCCTACTACATGTATTATTGTATTGATTTTACTGGCTAGTGTGTTGATATGGCCACCTGAGAGAAATCGCAGTGGAGGTGAACAACTATAAGATATTAATATTTCTAAAGATTATGTTTGAATATGCAGTATGTTCTCAACAGTGTATATTTATTAAAGTCTATAGTGTAGCGCCTTTTTGGAGTGTGTAGAAAAATCACCTGCCAGATAAGGGACCAAACTCGTTAACAGGGCGAGTGCTCTACCGCCTGAGCTATCGGGCCGGTTCTACCCTGCATTTGGCACTACACTAGAGACGGACCGTACACGCCGGAAGTCTCTCAGATTTGCCTGCGCTTTGTGCGCATGAGCAAAACGGATGGTTCACGCTCCGAACAATTGATGCCACACCGGTACATACTGGGGCGACTAGGTACCCTGCTAGGTCATGTAGGATCCAGTTGGGGATTTCGTCGGGACCTGTAGACTTGTGTACGTTTACTTGGAGCAAGGCATCTTCTTTTGTGATGATATATGTGGCTGGTACAGGGTTTGCTGCTTCTACGTGTTTCGGTTCAAGTGGCACAAAGTCATTTGTGACAGATTGTAAGAAAGCGTTTATTTTCTGGGCTAATAATTAAGCTGAAATCACCATTGCAGATTATCTGTTATAATCATGATCATAATGTTGACTTTTATTAGTACTCCTGACACTGTGTGCACAATTATTTCCTCTCTCCTGGATTATAAGTTAGCCAGAGCCTACCTTTAAATCCAATTTTACTACAGTTCCGGTCAACCCGTTTCCCTTCCTAACTTCGATTTCATTTTTGCCGCGCTATGCACCGACGAAATATTTCAAGTTCAACGATGTCATTTTTTCTAAACAAAAGACTTTAGCCATGAGTACAATACTGATAACAACTGATAATGAAGAAACAGGGCATCAAGTCCTTAAAAAACGCAAAAAGCAGGAGCACATGTGTTGCGGTCATTTTGTCATGTAAGGATATTAAACACGAAAACGAAACTATCAGTTACGTCATACAGGAATCCCCCAACCTCAGCCAGTCATAAAATAGTATTTGTAAGTAAAACTGAGGTCAGTAAATTTTGTATTAATAATTAGCTGGGAACTCCCCGGGATTTTTGAAGGGAGTAAAATATATCGTCAAGAAAAGAAACAACAATGTATTCCTTAGATTTACACATTCCGAGTCAGCTTGAAAGCTCGCCGGATATAAGGACCGACCATACAGGTTTTTTTTTATTAGACCTATACGAAATTTGTCAGGCATGTCCGACGCCTTTCGTAAAGTCTGCGTTTATGTCATAATCACACCTCATCCTTGCATTTGATTACATTAATGGCTCTTTTTGTATGTAATTTAGCATTAGTAAATAACTTAATTGATATGGTATTATATTTTGTTTATAGTTTATACCCCAGAACCAAACTTTCTTGTGAATGAGTTAAGGAAATTATCAATATTCCATGACCAGGAGTACTTAGATAACCACAGTATCTGTTTTGGAGGTCAAACACCAACCCCATGGATGCAGTCACCATTGTGTATGCCGTGAGTAATTCATTTCAGCAGTGGCGTGCCCCACTCGGGTTACATTAAAAACCTTTTTAAGATTTAGGAAAATATAAAGGCTCATTTAATTTATAAAAAGTGTTTTATTTCCAAGGTTTGGAATCAAGCATTTAATGAAGAATTATAAAAAAAAACATTCAATTTGACCCCATGACAGTATTCACTTTTCAAAGTTAAATAAGAGACAAACCATCTTTTAACACGTTTTGCGAAAATAGATAATACAGTAGTTATGTAGAGTATCAATTAAGGCATTATACACACTATATAAACAAAACAAAGCAAAATAAATAATCTGCATAATTTATTTTTCAGTTTAAGAGAGGAAAAGAAAAATGTGATCTACTGTGTGTATGAGTATGAGCCCCTGCTGGATTCCTGCAATATGACCATGGAAGACTGGGCTAGGATTGCCAAAGACATTAAGGTAAATCTCAGAGTCCAGTGCAGCTGCTTCTTTTTGAGTCCTTTCAGTGTTAGAAAAAGTGACATTTTTAATACATTTTTTTTCTGTAAAGTTAGCATGATATTTTTTTCCATTCAGACTTACTATGAGGGTTTTGATGGGTTTGTTATACTTCATGGGACAGATACTATGGCCTACACAGCATCAGCTTTGTCTTTCATGTTTGAGAATCTGGGAAAACCTATCATTCTTACTGGCTCACAGGTAAGTTTTGTTCTCATTATTAAGGCATTAAAAATATTTAAAGATGATATGTGTGAACTCACATTAGAACATGATAGAAATGACCCTTCCCCACACGTGGGCTCAAATAATGTACACTTCATAGATATCATCACCTTACATGAAAGGCTGTACTCTTGATGTCAGAAACAGTAAAGTTCTAGATATGTTGTAGATACTAGATCATACTAACAGTATAATTACTGATGAAAACAAACCCGCCATTTGGTTAAATTGTGCAGAATATCAGTTACTACATAAGTTGGTAAGTCTAGATATTGGATTTTTATCCTTGAATAACTATGCTTTTTTGTGTGAGAAAATTAAGCAGGGACATTTTCAAACATTTTTATATAGTGTACACAAACAACAAATATATATTACATTAAACAAGATCAATTGCCAATAAAAGCTTAACATTTTTTTAATGCTTTGAAATACAGGTATATGCATGGCAGGGATAAAAATTTTCAGCATGTGGCTTACTGCCAAATGTTGTTTGCTTATTTATTCAGATTCCCATCTTTGAGACTCGTAGTGACGGCAGAGATAATCTTCTTGGTGCTCTCATTATGGCTGGAAACTCTGACATTGCAGAGGTAACACATTCCCAGTGTGTGTGTGTGTGTGTGTGTGTGTGTGTGTTCTGCACAAAGTCTTTTTATTGGTAAAAAAGCACCTATAAGTTAAATTTCACATTCAGTATATTTTACACTTAAAAGGTATAAAGTCAGTATGAGATTGCAAATATTGATCTTTTTCATTAAGCAGCTTTTAAAGCATTCAATTTACTACATTGAAATGAATGAAAACCAAAGTTTCTTTGTGAACAAAGAACATACTTTATCCAGATCTTGATTCTATAGTTTTTTTTTAATTTCTAGGTAATGATATTATTCAACAATAAGCTTCTTCGAGGAAACCGTTCAACCAAATATAATAGTAGCAGTTTTGATGCATTCCATTCCCCAAACTTTCCTCCCCTTGCTGTTTTAGAGACTAAGATTCATGGTATGATATTTAAAACTTATAATAATGTGCATTTCAAAGTATTAGAGTGAAAAGCATTTCTTCAAATTTCTTTTTTATAATAAATTGTTTATAACAACTTTGGCTCTTGTCCTAGATTGACTTTCTATTTTAGGTTTGTACCCTATAATATGATTCATAAGGTCCAATATATGTATTTCAAGTTTCCCTTGATTTTATATGTTTACTGTTTATTCACAGTGCATAGGGATGAGATTTTTCCCAGCAACACCACTCAAGAATGTACCCTGTATACTGACCTTTGTCCTAGTGTGGGAATACTCCGTCTTTTTCCCAGTATAACCACCGCTATGGTTAGTTGAATAAGTTGTTTTTAGGCAGGTTTGAAAGTTTAAATATTGTATTGGGTTAAGATCATGAAAAAATACTGAAAATGAATCAAATAGTGAATATCCACTGTATTTCATATTTAAAATTATATGGACAATAAAATAAGATTTTCACTAAATGTTAACTTATGGAGGTCATTATTCATGTATGGCCAATTCATGAAAGCCAAATCAATTCTATAGGTCCAAAGATGTCCAGTTTCATAGTAATTTTTCAGATTTTGATAAAAAGTTTGAGTATTTTTATTGATAAAGTTTATTATAATTATTATTTTAATATTATTATTATTATTATTATAGGTTCGCCAGTTTTTGGCACCTCCACTCAAGGGAATGGTCCTGGAATCCTATGGGGCAGGAAATGCTCCAGATTCCAGAGAGGACTTAATGCAAGTGTTCTCAGAGGCCACGAAAAGAGAAGTGCTGCTGCTTAACATCACCCAGTGTCACAGAGGCTCTGTTAACCCAGGTTATGCCACAGGAAAGGTTTGCTAATAACCAAGAGAAATACTCTTGAAAATGCTTTATTTATTTATTAATTTTTATTTTACACCCATACAGCTTGTGGCTTAGTTAAAGGGATAATAACTCTTTATTTTGGCCAAAAAATTAATTTTCCTGGGGTAAACAACAATTTTCCCATATTTACCAATGGTTAATGAATCCATTTTTACATTCAAAGTTAGTCCCTGATTTTTTTTCTAAAAAGTTTTTTTGTTATAATCTCCTAAGAGATTATAACAGAGTATAGCAATTAAATGGAGGTCACGTGGTCTGAAGACAAGCTCAGATATCAGAATAATAGCTATAACTGCCGTTTTTGTGGTAAAAACAGAATATATTATATTTCTTTGAGTTCTTCACAATGTTTTTATTGTGAAATATAGATCTCATACGAAGAGTTATTATCCCTTTAAGTGTGGTAAAATGTCCTGCTTATGTATTTTGAGAATACCCAATTCTATTGCAAAAATTAAAGGAAAACGATTGTTTTAGATTTTATTAGTTTGCATATATGCCTAATACACTAATAGATTTGTTAGTTATTGACCTGTGATTTGTATTTGATATTTCCAGGCTTTGACTGATGCAGGTGTGATCCAAGGCTCTGACATGACCCCTGAGGCTGCACTGGCCAAGCTGGCCTTTGTCATAGGAAAAGAAGACTGGAATTTCGAGGACAAGAAGGAGGTAAGAGGAATGTATTATACTATTATTATTATTATTTAAAAGACTTATTATATAAAAGACTTTATAAAATTTTAATTGTGAGTCAGATATTATTGCATCTGCTAAAGGAAGAAAGGGTTTAAAGGGGCATCCCTGTTGTCATAGCAACAACTATTCCAGTTTGATTGAGAGTATTTGTACAGTGAGGATGAGCATTCAGGGAATCTTTTTGAAAGGTGAAGCAATGCATTTATTTAGTAGAACATATAAAAATATAGAACAAAAGGCTTTATCAAGATACTCCTAGCCAGGAAGGGTTGTCGCATATTATATATTTTGAGTAATGTCTATATTGTGATGGTACATTTAGAGTTTGTTTGTTTTTTGATTTTTAGAAGTTATCTGAGAACCTCCGTGGTGAATTGGGTGGGTTTATGTGGTACTAATCTAAGCCAGGACAACTATGACAGAAGAACTGCACTACATGTTGTAAGGAAAACCAGACCGTACTGTTAAAAACTCTTAATATACTGGTATACTTTTCTTTTCTGTGTAACTAAGTGAACATGGACACCGAGACCAGCAACCCTTTTGATGTCCATTTTGATTTTTTGTCATATATGACATTTGATTTTTTTAAAACAATTATTGGGTAATTTTTTGGGGAGGGGCAGCTTCTCATGGACATCAGGATTCAGTGGAGTTTCTGTTAGTACAAGGGGTGAGTGTCACAGCAGAAGATAGGTTTGGATATACTCCACTCAAGGAGGCAACTGCTAAAGGACACAGAAAAATCTCCAAGCTGATCCTTGACGCTGTGAAGCCAATTGTTAGCACAAGCACTTCCACTGACACTTAACTTATTTATTGTCCTGTATGAATATAATATGAAATATGAAAACACCTAATTGTGCACTGAATTTTAATTATATGCGCTGTTTTGGTGTTTTGACTATTTGATGAAAGTGGACTTTTTTTTCTTATCTGATATAAGTTTAAGGTACACTGCATGTTTAAGAGTTTTCCATAGTGATACTTACTATGCCTACAGGCCCTGCAAAGCTAATGCTTTTTCTCAATTCAGACCTTAAAAACTGAAATATACGGGAAGACACAGTCTTCTAAATGACTGGCTGATCATTTAAAACTATAACAAATAATCAAAATGGAAGATAAAAACCAAGTGCAGGGCAACCAAGCAATGATTCTTAAGTAGGACACCCTCCCCCTCATTTTGGCTGGTAAAACTCATATAGAATACCTTTAATATCATCTTGTCTAGTTGGAAAAGCACATATGTATATCATTTTTATTATAACAGTGAAGCATCTTTTATATACCAGACTGTTTTGTGTGATCAAAAATTGAACATTCATAATATGATTGTATCATACTGATGTGATGAGAAATAATCTCAAGTATGATAATTATCAGTGCAATTCAACATATACCTCAAACCACTCCAATTCCATTTTTCAATTTTTTGCAAATTATATGTTTAAGTAAATGTATGAGTATTAAAAAATATCTTTTATTTAATTTGACCTTCTTGAGGTACATATATATTGTTTTATTCTTAAATTATATGAAGGTGGCTTAAAGTATGAATCACAGATTTCCTTAGGGGGAAATTATAAGTTTCCATAAAGTGTCAAAAAAAAAAAAAAAAAAACTTGTCTTTACTTTGCAAGGTTAATTCTTAGATTTTAGTATTCCCCTTTCATTAAAACAATTGTAAGGCTTTTTTGTGGGATAATCACATTAAAGCTGAATGTGTGCAATATACCGATTATCAAAGCTTTTTTGCTTTCCTTTTTCACATTATAATTTGTTTCATCTTCATTCCAGTATTGCAATTGTTTTTCCTTAAATATTTTTATTTGTCACAAGCTATTAATATTTGTACATGCACTTTATGCACTATATATAACTGTTTTTAGAAATTATTTTT